CCCCTCTGGAATCTCCTCTGCCTGTAGCACCAAGCAGTGTTGAGCTGGAGAGAACCTCCCTTGGAATGTATTTCCCTTTTCCTGCGTGCTCGGGGTTTCTGGGTTTGTGGGTAGCTGGTTCCTTCTTGGAAGGACAAAGGGAATTTGAGTTTATCCCGGATTTCCCCATGTGAGCTCTGCCAGGGCCAGCACTGCTCTCCCCTCCTGCCAGTGGAGGAGAAATCCCATCCAGAGCAGTTGTGGAATCCCCGGTGCTTCTTTTTTTTAAAGGTTCTGTTACAACATTCCCACTCGGAGCAGGGACCAGCATTGCTGGGTTTTTACCAGAGCAAATGTTTGTTTTTGGGGTTTCTCTCTTTGTGATACCAGAAATGTCTTTTTTTCTAAATACGTGCCTGAAACTTTGTTTCTTAATCCTCCTGTTTTAACCATTCTGGAATTTGTTTCACTGTGTTGACTGATTAAATTTTGAAAGCCTTCCATGCACGTGTGGATTGTGTTTTGTCTGGGGGGTTTTCCATCCAGTGTACTCCAGGAATTAACTGCCGGTATTTTTCTGGGGATAACACCAAAATGTTGAGCATATCCACAAATTCTTTTATTTCCTGACTTGTCAGCTGCTCCATGACTGGGAGATGGGAACAGCAGGGAACAAACACTTGCAATTCTAGAATTAATTAATCTGAATTTTTTAATTCTTACCATTCAAGAACGGGTTTATAATCCTAATCTTTCAAATCTAGAATTATTTTATTTGGAGAAGTTTTTAGGAATCCCGTTCCCTTGGAGTGCCAGCTGGGGGAGGTTTAGTTTGGATTTTGGGAAAATTTCTCCATGGAAAGGGGGTTTGGCACTGGGCACTGATGGAGTGCCCATCCCTGCAGGGATCTGGGATGGCTTCCTTACCTTGTTCTTGCAATTCTGGAATTATTTTACTCTTACATTAGTGTTGAACACTTTGGAGTCATTCTAAACTTGCGATTCTAGAATTAATTAATCTGAATTTTTTAATTCTTACCATTCAAGAATGGTTCATAGCACTAATCCTTCAAATCTAGAATTATTTTATTCTGTAAATCTCAGGGGTTTTTTTCTCTCAATCTTAGAGTTACTTTATCCTATTATTTCAGCCCTACACTGGTTTTACCTTATTCTTGCATTTCTAGAGTGATTTCTCACCTTCTTCTTGTCATTACAGAATGCTTTTTAACGTGCAGTTTTTCAAACCTAGTATTCACTTATTTTTTATGTTACTCCCGCGGCTCCCGGCTGATTTCCGTGTGTTTTCCCTGCATTTCCAGAGCTATTTTCCCTTTTTATCCCAATCCCGAAGGATTCCGCTGCCCCTTCCCG